TCCACAAATCAGCAGTCGCGTACAGGCAGGGCATTTAGACTTACTATCGTCCACATTGCCGCAGATGCTAATTAACTGTCACGCTACCTGCGCTAGTGCTGCCATTCCTGTCCATGTCTCCCTGTCGTATCGTCCACTGTCCCGTTGACTACCATGTATCCGGTACGCTGGTTGAGCCAAACTGGCTGACTTTCGACATTTAATTTCATAACTTGCGCTGATTTGATACTTCGGTGTTATTTTCAGTAGGTGTGCTATAGCATGAAATATAACGCGAAATTCTCAAATTTGAGGCAGTAGACGCGATCGCTGGCACAAGCACTTTTCCGTCTGACTTTTCGGATTCCTGCTCGAATCCATCTTCAGAAACAGCAATAGGTACTGGTATTTTGATTAGATTCGATTCGAGAAGGTTAATCAAGTATTCAAGACAGTGAGCCCCTGGCAAATGGTTAGAGCGTTGGTGGAGGGTTCGAAACTCGAGCGGGATACCAATTTCTGAGGCAGCAATTGAGTTGGCATAGCTGACTGACTACGGCTTATAGGCCAGAAATGGCTATCCTGGTCTCCCTTGTCTTTTTCGGTAGTCCTTCTGCCTATATCATAAGCCGCCTTGCGGCGTGGACCGAGTTTGAGCTCCAAGGGCACCATGGACAGTGAACGCCTATCTGCAATTATTGAAGAATATCATTCATATTATTTAGTGTAAAGCATAATACAGATACTTTCCATGCACTTCAGACTGCCAGCTTCTAAGCCATCTACAATGACAACTAAAGTGATGTTTATCTTGTCTATCGATTAAAAAATGCACGATATTATTCTTATGCACATTTGACAGTAAATAGCGTATTCTTCAACTGCGTTCGTTTTTACTTTTTAATCTCCAAATTCACTCGGAACCCGACCAGCAGTTGTGCGTGCTCTGGGATTTTCAAAACCGCATGCCGTCTAACCACAATCGAGCATTTCCTCACACTTTTATGAAGATTTCATGCAGTGCTCAGAGGTCTTTACAACAGATTTGGACCATTTGGCAAGCAACAGCAATGAATTCCCGAATACGATGCCCCTATTTATGGATGTTTCATGGCCCTATGAAAACACATACTTAGAGGGTTTTTTGAAACCGAAAGATGCCCTTTCTAACAAACCAATAAAAGAACGAATATCTTCGTTTTTTGTCCTACAACATATGCTTCACTTTATAGCGGCACGGAAATTGATCAGAATCATTCATCCCACTTGAGCGTTAATTTTTTTTACAGAGTGTGGTTTTTAGAGGAGACCAGTAAGATTCTCATTCAAATGCCGGCCTCTTGAAGGGACTGGAATAGCTTGAGGCTAGGTTGCACGATATCTACCTAATCAATGTTTTCGAAACGAAGGCCAATTTCAGAATTGTGGATAACATATTGTCAACTTTACTATAAACGGTGAGAGCAGAACAAGAAATACTATCCGAAAAAAGCGTAGGATACTAGCACATCTGTAAGTGATGATACTTTTACAGTCATTTGATGTTTAGCCTACTGAATGGGCGTGTCGTTGGGTCCTTTTCTTTCACACAGACCACGCAGTCTGACCTGTCTGCTTAATGTTCTTCTCAGCTAAATACCTGAGCTTTCCTATGAAACCGAATGTTTATCCGTCGATATTTACGGTAGTTTCGGCGCCACCGCTATATGCTGGTCCGGTGTATACATTCACACCCGGCTAACTGTTGTTTTGACGAAAGATTAAACATTTCGAATACTGTAATGTCTGTAATTTCTCATGCTGTCGGGAATTTGAGCTTCTTTTGCGATCGATACGAGGCTAATAGGGGATCCACAATATGAAAGATTTGATAACTGTGGGGTAGCCAGTTCTGCATCAATCACATGCTCCCTGACATTGCATAAAACCGCGTTGTGATAAAATCCACATTGGCACATTCTTTTGCAAAAGAACCAAAGCGATCCACGCAGACCGTCTCCTAACTTTAGGATACAGTGTAAACGCATATTTCTAATGATCAACATGATTTCCATGTACACACTAACCCTAATTTTTTAGGATATTGTTCACAAGTGCACTCTCAGGTAGATCTAAAAATGGTACTCATTGATTCTGTCTGCGCATTTACTACTACTAAGGCCTGTAGATAACACAGGGAGACTGGAAGGGCAATTTCTGATTTATTAGCCGTCATCAGCCAGCCCTACCCAAAACCAGGTTAACGGAATCGGAGGCTTGAACCCGCGACTTATTTATTGGAATTCCGTCGCTCTAATCCCCTGCGTCAGAGGGCTCTTTATCTTGCCGGCTTCAATGGAGAATCGTAAAAATATAAGATAGGGAGTCGTCGATCGGTTACAGAACCCACTC